CTCCTTACACTATCTTTGTATTTTTGGGTTCTTTTTTCATTTTGCTTTTCTGGTTGGGTGATTTTTGCTTCTTTGTATTTCAAATCGTTGACTTGATTCTTGCAATCCTCTAGTCTGCTGTTGGGAGTCTGTATAATATTCTTTATTTCAGTCAGTGTATGCTTAATTTCTAGTTGGTCCTTTATCACCACCTCGAGGATCTCATTAGATTTCTTGTAGATCTCATTAAGTTTATCAGCAGTTTCTAGAAAATTCTTGAAAAGCCTTAAAAGTGTGGTTTTGAACTCTATATCCAGTAGTTTGCTTTCCTCCATTTCTGTCATTTGTGACTTGTTTCTTTGTCTCCACATTTTTTATGCCTCCCTGTGTTGATAGAGTGGCTTTCTATGTTAGGTGTCCTATAGGGCCCAGTGGCTCAGCCTCCCCGATTACTTGAGGTGGACACTCTTATGCACCCCTTTGTGGGCTTTGTGCACAGTCTTGTTGTAGTTAAGTCTTGATTGTTGTAGGTATCACTAGAAGGAATTGACCTCCAGGACAATTGGCTGTGAGAATCATCTGTGTCTTCAGTGGGAGAACTTCTGAGCTGGAGACACTCTTCTGGGGCAAGACTTGCTTCAGTGGGGCTTTGGTGCTCACTGAGTCTGCCCCTTGAGTGTGTCCCTTATGGATCTGAGGAGTTGTAATTGGATGGTCCACTGGGTACACTGGCTCTTGGATCTCTAAGGAGGTGCTAATTTAGCCTCTGCCTGAGACTACCCATAAGGAGCTATGGAGAGATTCCTCTTCTTTGTTTGGGGTTTCGAGGTGCCCAGATGAGGCCCAGCTGTGAAGCAATGCAAGCTGCTGTGGGGCCTTGGGCCTTCTTTTGGAAGTTCTGGGTCTCTCTGATTCAGCTCCAGTTTGTTAGGTAATTTTCAGGTTGCAAAGGGCCAGGCCTTTCATATGCAAAAGCCTCTGTGCACAGCTTGGGTGGGGTGGGGTCTCAGGGGATCAACAGGGCGGAGCAAGCAGCTATGGCTGCTCCTCAGTCCTGCCCTAAGAGGCCCCGGATCTCAGTGTCCCGGTAATCACTGCAAGCACCTCTGAGAGAAAGCCGCCCTTGAGTTCTGCCCGCTGCTACAGTCTAGTTTCTCCCTATATAGAGACTCACCCGGAACTGGAGTTCAGAGCATTCGGGAGCTTGAGACTCTCTCCGGATTGAAAAAGACAACCGCGTCCTCAGCTGCCAGCCCTCTCCACATGTGCCATGTCCTCAGCTACCAGCCCTTTCCATGTGCGCCACGTCCTCAGTTGCCAGCCCTTTTGGCGTGCACCTCCGTACCTCTGTACTTTACTTCCACACCTCCTCTGAGTCTCAGTGCTTTTCTCTTTCCTTCTAGTTGTAGAATTTCCACTCAGCCAGCCTTCCTGTGGTTCTGGATGATGTCCGTTTTGTCTTTTAGTTGTATTTTTGAAGTGGTTGTGCGAGGCAGCAATTTCCGGTGTTTACCTATGCCACCATCTTGGTTTCTCCCACCCTTGGCACTTTTTAAAAGTGCTAGACTAACTATGCAGTTATGTGGTGTTTTTTTAAAAGTCACACTGTCGAAGAATACTTATATTAATAAATGGGGAAAGTTACAAATAAGTATGTACACTAGGCTATCATTTCCAAAAGATAAAAGAATATCCCCAAATGATAGTAGTGGTTATATCTGGATGATGAATTACAGGTGATTTTTATATTCTACTTGGACTTTCCATGTTTCCTAAACTTTCTGTACTGAGCATTTATTACTCTCTTAAACAAGTAACTTCACAAACTTTACAAATTTGGGGATTCTCTTATATCCCATATATAGTATTGTTGGACACCATGTATGACTCCAATGTGTCTAGGGACTACCAGGGCCACCTAATAGGTTAAGTGACAATTAGCAGCAGCTCCAAACCTGGAAAGGATTAGTGCTACAGTTAGTTCTGATCATTTTGGAGAAATCTGAACAATTAGCCAATTTGGTTAAATCCTTTACGCTTTCCTTTGAACCAAAAGGAATCCCTAGAAGACCCAAGGAACTGCTTCAATCATCGAGAGATCCTTTAGATGTTCAAGATCATCTCAACCACACAGTAGAGAGATCTCAGACTAGGATCAAGAAAGAACGAACCCAGAGCACAGCTCTTGTGGAATAAACATGTAAGTTGAAGCATATACAGGCAGATACCTTAATTTATTTATTGAACAAATAATAAGCATCTGCTGTGTGCCAGGCTCTCTGCTAGGCGCTGGAGATATGGTGAATAATGCTCAGTGCCTATTGTAGAGAAGTTTATAGTCTTGAGCAGGGATTCCCAACCCTGGCACTGCGGCCATTCTGAGCTAAATGATTCTTTGCGGTGGGGGGTGTGGGGGTTGTCCGGTGCATTGCAGGATGTAAAGCAGCATCTCTACTCTTCTCTAGATGCCAGTAGCACACATTCCCAGATGTGACAATCAAAATTGTCTTCAGGGACGTTGCCAAATGTGCCCTGGAAGGCAAAATCGCCCTGGGTTAAGAACCACTTATCTAGAGTACTGCTGTCCAACACCACTGTCTGTAGTGATGAAAATGCTAGATGTCTGGGCTGTCCAATACAGTTACTGCTAGCAACATGTGTCCACTGAGGTTATGAAATGTGGCTAGTACAACTGAGGATCTGAATTGTTAATTTAATTTTAATGTAGCCACATATGACCAGTGACTACCCTATTGGACAGCGCTGGTCTAGAGGACCTCCAATATCCCAATAAATGTTATCCTGGCTTTCACTTCTAGCGTCAGACCTCTTCCTCCTCATTCTCAGCTCTTTGTTCCTCCACAAGCACCTATTTCATTCGGTCTATTTTTGGGGAACCTGTCTGCCTCCATCGTTAATGCATTACACATAGGTAGGGGCTGTGTCTAAATGACGTCTGGGCCCCAAATCTCATCCTAGTGGCTAAGCTGAAGCAGTCAAGTCGGGCATGCATTTGGGAATCTCTGAACAATGGGAACTGTCCTCAGAATCCGGGAGAGCGAGAGAAAAGTCCAGGAGAGCGGGCAGCCAGGTGCCAGTCAGCCAACCCCTGCGGGCCCCCGGCCCGAATCCCGGGAGAGGACCCCAGCGTGGGTTCTCCTTACTTCTTCAGAAGCTTGTCTTTGTCTTTGCTCTTGCCTTTCCTTTTGCTCTTGCCCCGAATCGGCATCTTGGCTTCTCCAAGGGCCGGGCTGTCTCGCCGCCGCCCAGCCCGGGTTCGGTCTCTAAGGGA